CTCACTTTGTCACCCAGATTGGAGTGCAGTGGCATGCTCCTGGTCACCGCAGCCTCGACCTGCTGGGCTCCAGCGATCCTTCCACCTCAGCCTTCCAAGTAGCCAGAACTACAGGCACACGCTACCATGCCCTGCTAATTTTTTTTTATTTACTGTAGAGGCGAGATCTCACCAAGTTCCCGAAGTGGGTCTCGAACCCGCAGGCTAAGGCAATCCACTCACCTCGGTCTCCCAAAGTGTTGGGATTACAGGCTGAGCCACCGAGCCCAGCCTGAAATGGTGATTTTTTTTTATAATCTCAAAGTCAAGGTCCATTTCTTTATGAAGATAAGATTAGAGAAGTAGACTTAAAAATGAAAATATTAGAAATCCAGATCATGTAATTAGGAGAGTTTTTGTTTTTAAGTTAACTATCCATTTCTGCTTCCCCAATGTATCTATTTCTAAAAATACTTTCTCTCTCTTGGTCTATCATAGTGGCTTTGGTTAAGTACTGTGGACACTTCAGGACTAACTCATTTGCCTTTGTTTTTGAGAATGCTCATTTTCTTGTACACTCAGTTTCTATTTATTTTTTCCAAATATATTCTCTTGTACATTCAATTTTTATTTACCCTTCCAAATATATCTTAAATGTTAATAAATGTTTGCCATGACTCCTTACACATCATTCAGGCCCTAAGCCAAAAGTTTATCTTGTTTGAATATACCATCAGATCTCCCTTTCTTTTGCTGAGTCACCAAGCCTCATCTACTTCCAGTCTCTCTGTTTTGTGCCATCATGAGTATGATTTTGAAATAATTTTCTCCTTTAGTCTCTTGTCTAAGTTGGAGTTTATAACTATCAAAGGAAGATTTTAAAGCTATTTAATTTTTAAAGGTACATGTGTGCATATTACTTCAGATTGCTCTAAATGAAATCAAAGCACGTTTTTTGGCATGTGGAAGGCAAATTTTGAAGAGTATGGAAGCTTATTTTCTTTTTACATTGTTTCATATTATATAGAGAGTGGGCTCAATGAGAAGACAGGTAGCTATGACCATGTATATAGTTTTCTAAAACCATTAAAACTCGAAAACTTGCCGGGCTTGGTGGCTCAGCCTGTAATCCCGCGCCTTGGGCGGCTGAGGTGAGTGGATTGCCTGAGCCTATGGGTTCGAGACCCGCCTGGGCAACTTGGTGAGACCTCATCTCCACAATAAATCAAAAACTAGCCGGGCGTGGTAGCGCACACCTGTAGTTCCAGCTACTTGGAAGGCTGAGGCGGAAGGATCGCCGGAGCCCAGCAGGTCGAGGCTGCGGTGGCCGGGAGTGGCCACTGCACTCCAGTCTGAGCAACAGAGTGAGACTCCAACTCAAAAAAAAAAAAAAAAAAAAACTTGAAAAATTCTTTTCAAGCAGTGAAATTGACCTTGAGCAAGCTTCATAGAACAATATCCCTTTTCTCCTCTGCAGTTCAAATCTAGGACATTACAAACTTGAACATAAAAGGCAATCAGCATTCTTCCGTAAATGGGTTTCTACGTATACCCAAAAACTAAAAAAGATGCATGAAAATATAACAGTGTAGATTTCTCCAGAGAGTCTATCATCTGATTCCCTGGATTTGCCAGTCTCTAATGTGTGTGTTGGAGTGGAAGGTATTGTAGACATGTGAGGTCCAGCTGTTTTTTATACTATCTTAATTTATTGCTTCTGTCACTAATGACAATCTTCCATAGTTATATCCTAATTTATAGTTTAGAGAGATAATACAGTATGGTGGTTAACAGCATAAGTGTTCGCATCAAACTGCATGGGAAGTAAACCTGAGGAACCCATCTCACCTCTTTCCTATTAGCATCCTGACCTTCACAGCAATATTGCTAAATTCAGATATGATTTTTAAGTGAATAGGTAGGTTTTGATAACTTTAAATTAAAAACATGAATTAAGCAATATGGAATGAAGAATGCATCAAAGAATTTCGTCTGTTAGAGGGAGGAAATAAAGTTATAAGCATGCCTTAATACAAAACATAATGAGAACTACATTCCATTAAGGTGTTAGACCCTGTCCAGGCATGGTGGCTCATGCCTGTAAGTAATCCCAGCATTTTGGGAGGCTGACAGGGAGGATTGCTTGAGCTCAGGAGTTCAAGACCAGCCTGGGCAACATAGTAAGACCTTGTCTCTAAAAAAATAAAATAAAATAGAAAAGATGTTAGACCCAGTGTTAGAGTAAAAACCTAAAAAGTAAATATGAATGTGTAATAAATATTTATAAATGTATATATGAATATGTAATATTAAGTGAATATTACCAACTCATGATCTTTTTTTCCGCTGACTTTTATCCCCAGGTTCTGTCAGATAGTGAGAAACGGAAACAGTATGATACTTATGGTGAAGAAGGATTAAAAGATGGTCATCAGAGCTCCCATGGAGACATTTTTTCACAGTAAGTACTTTAACCATCTGCAAAGTATTAGTGCCTGAAAATGGGTCAATTAGTGGTTATTAAAGAATGATCCTCACTTCCCAGTTCAGAAGCTTTTGATGAAGAATACAATTCAGTGATCCAGAGATAAATTATTGTCCTCCCTGTGGGAAGATAGTCTTCTATTTTCACAAAGCTTAGGAAAAATAGCACTAAAAGGGCTGTCCATCTAGCCAACTGTATCATTTAAATCAATGCTGACAGTTTACTGGTTGAAAACCAGTTCAATCTCACCTACATGCTGTCTTGGAGTCTGCAAACCATTTAATGAGCAAAATTATTGTAAGCAGAGAGAAGAGAGAGATTTCCTCCTCCATGCCCAAAGCTGTCTTTTTTCATCCTATTAAGTGAGGGATGATTATGATAACCAGCATTGGGGGAAGGTTTAGGCTGGCTCTTAATCTCCTGCTTGCTGGGTGGATGGCATAATAAACACCTTTCCTCCTCACTCTTTGAACCCCTCTTTGTTAAGCATTTGAATTTCTATATACCCTGATAATGCCATATACTAGGCAGCTTAACCTACGACTTCAGGTCTGAAGTTATAAACACAAATAGGTTTGGATCTGCATCTTAATGGGTGGAATTCATGGTTTTCTTCAAAATTCTCAAAGGTTCTGTGACCCCTTCCTCAAAAGAAGTAAGAATGACTGTTGCATACAATAGTTTCCCCCCATTTACTCCTTGGGGAAGGGTAGTAGATTTTTAGGACTTGCAAAGATATGTGAGTAATATCATTAGGATATCTCTTTTCTTTCCCCAGGATCAAGTTTGCTGTTTAAGCCTGCAAGGAAAATGTCCTGTTTCCCTTGACTGTCCAAAGTGATTCCTTAGAGATCCTAGAGCAATCAAAAGCTTCCCCCAGCTTCCCCCAGTTCTCCCTCCTTGCTGTTATTTAAGATTAAGGAAGTTTCATTCCCTTGGGTTGGTTTGGGGCAGGTTATATAGTAGTCATCACTGCTAACATCTGAGACTTCTTAATAATGCCAAAAGTTAGCATTAGGTTAGAGCACTTGTACAACTGCTGTTTTCATTAACCTCAAAATGATTCTTTCGTTACTTGGAAAAATTAATTTTGGTCTTACAGAGACTAGAACTTCCTTCTCCTTAAGGACTAGAATTTTACTAAGGCTGATTTTTATTTTTACTTTATTTAATTACATACCCAAGATTTTTGTGCAGAGCAGTAGCTTCTTTCATCAGGTTAGTTTCTAAAAAACACATAAAGAGAGCACTATATATGTTCAAGTTACCCTTTGAAATTTATTAAATTAGTTGTTAAGTTCAGCATTACTCAAGTTTATATATACTTATAACCTTTCTGAATAGGTCTACAATATCAGGATTTTACCCAATACTGAAAGACTATTATTTAATTGGTTGGGTCCAGTATTGAATTCATTGTCATTCTGTATGTATATGTACTCTACTACATGTATGGGCCATATTGTATTAAAAAAGTAATTTTTTTGTAGTGAGGCAATCTGGTTGCAATATAGTTGACAGTGTATAAATTTAAAAATCACATATGATATATGACTCCAGTGTATTAAAAAATATCTTTCAGTTTTGCACAGTGCATTGGTAGTAAATATTTTATCAATTGGAAGAAAACTAAACAATTGTGAAACTTGAACTCTGATTTCTTTTCCTGATGATTTTGCACTTACCTTCAGCTTCTTTGGAGATTTTGGTTTCATGTTTGGAGGAACCCCTCGTCAGCAAGACAGAAATATTCCAAGAGGAAGTGATATTATTGTAGACCTAGAAGTCACTTTGGAAGAAGTATATGCAGGAAATTTTGTGGAAGTAAGTTTAAATAATACAGCTGTTCATAATGACTCCTAGAACTTGTACTTACAACTAAAAATAAGAGGTTTCTATGTACCTTCTCTGTCATTTTAGAGGATTGGGAGGAGTGATCAGATGCACATAATCTGTTTTGTGTTTGAATTAAACATAATCTTCAATTCATGATACACTGTTGTCATTGTTTCATGAATTTATCACCCAGCCTAAGAACTAAGTAAAACAATACCGTGACTTAATCTTCCTACATGCAACTTCCCTACTCTATTCCCCTGCCTCTCTTCAGAGGTAACTACTATACTGAATTTTGTCTTTATTGTTCTTTGACTATTCTTTTTTGTTTTATCGCATATATATGAGTATCTGAATAGTGAGTGCATTGTTTATTGTTTTTGACTTTGTGAAAATGGTATCATCATTCGTTGTCTTTTGGGACTGGCTCTTTTTACTCAATAGTATGTTACTAGGATTCATCTTTTTTGTTGCTTATAGCTATAATTCTGCTGGATACAATTTTACTGTGACCAACATTTATCGTTAAGCATTTCGTTTTTTTCCATTTTTTAAAAATTCCCAATAGTGCTTTTTGAACATTCTTAAACCTATATCCAAGTTCACATGAGCAATAATATCTTGAGTGGGTATACTTACAAGTAGAATTACTAAGTAATATAAACCAATACTCATTTTTATAAGATATTGTCATATTGTTTTTGAAATTGATTGTACTAACACTTCTACCAGCAATTTATAAATGATCTTATAGACTTGCTATCTCTCTAATATTTGGAATTATTAGACCCTTCAGATGGGTGTAAGATGTTATCTTATGATGGTCTTGTTTTGCATTTTCTTGATTGCCAGTTAGGATAAGCATCTCTTCCTATGTTTATTGGCCATATTTGTTTCTTCTCTTGTGAAATGCCTGTTCATGTCTTTTGCCAATTTTTTGTTGACCTTTTTTCATTGATTTCTAAGAGTACTTCACTCTTGCTGCTAATCCTTTGTTGTCTGTATGTAATGCAAATCTATCCAATCAGTCTGTAATTTGTCTTTTCGTTACATTTAAGATTTATTTCAGTGAAGAGAACTAATTAATTTTTTTGTGTGTTTTTGAGTCAGAGTCTCACTCTGTCGCCCAGGCTGGAGTACAGTGGTGTGCTTGTGGCCACTGCAGCCTCAACCTGCTGGTCTTAGGCTATTCTTCCACCTCAACCTTCCAAGTAGCTGGAACTACAGACACACACCACCAAGCCTAGCTAACTAAATATTTTAATGTGGTCAAAACTATTAGTCTTTTATGACTAGTTTTTGTGTCTTGTTTAAGAATTTCTTTTCTGCTATAAAAGAAGAAAGCAGCCAGGCACAGTGACACGCACCTGTAGTTCCAGCAACTCATGAGACTGAGGCCGAAAGATCATTTAAGGCCAGGAGTCTAAGACTGTAGTGTGCAATGATTGCACCTGTGAATAGCCACTGTACTCCAGCCTGCATAGCAAAACAAGATCCTGTCTCTAAAAAATAAAATAAAATAAGAAAGGTATTCACCTGTATTGTCTACTAAAACTTTGGGATATTTTAATGTGAGGTTATTCATCTTTTTTTAATTCTGGAAAATGTGTCTCCACTCTTTTTTCAAACATGTAACCATCTCCTTTGTCACTTCTTTCTGCTCTTACCTTTCTTTTAAATATGAAAAATACGTTGTAAATTCTTTTTCTTTATCCTTCACTGCCTCCTTCTGGGACATTACGTGATCTCCCAGCTCACTGACTCAATCTCCAGCTATCTGCATTCTAATAATATCCTATTTGCTGTGTTTTAATTTCAACTCATTTTTATGCATAATATTTCTACTTGGTTCTTGTGTTCTTACTCTGTATTGTTTGTCTTACCTCCTGAGGTATTATGCTTGTTGTAAATTCCTGGTCTGTCTAGTCTAGTATATTTGCTTAAAATATATGTTGTTATCCAGTTTGTTGTCTTTTTTTTTTGAGTTGAAGTCTCACTCCATCACCCAGGCTGGAACACAGTGGCACACTCACGGCCACCCCAGCATCGACCTGCCAGGCTCTTGGCGATCCTTTCTCCTCAGCCTTCCAAGTAACCAGAACTGCAGGCGTGCACTACCACACCCAGTTAATTTTTTATTTATTGTAGAGATGAGGTCTCACCAAGTTGCCCAGGCTGTTCTCGAACCCACAGGCTCCGGCAGTCCACTTGCCTTGGTCTCCCAAAGTGCTGGGATTACAGACTGATCCTCCAAGCCCAGCCAGTTTGTTGTCTTTGGTGGGGTAGATAGTTGGACACCTCAGGTGTCTAGCTATTTTTTATATTTCGTTATGGATACTGGCAACTACCTTTTCCTGGAACATATCTTGGGGTGAGCCTTTGCCCAGTGGTTTTAGCTGTGTTTTATTTGTTTTCTTGGGGTGTTTTTTGTTTTTTGTGGAGAGGGGTCCACAGTGCTTGTCCCAAGGCAGTTGAGGAGAGAGGCAGCAACAGAATTTCAGCTGCTTTTTCCTAATATCTTCTTACTGCCCTTATTAACTCTTGTTGCTCCAGGTTATGGCCACCACCCTACACACATACCAATTTAAAACAGCCTTCTCTCTCTGGGATTTTCTCATACATATTGTTTTATAGTTGTTGTTTCTGGAATCTGTTTTCTTGTAGTTTTTCCAGGGTTTTGAAAGAGATAGCCAGTAGCCTATGCGCATGTGCCATCTTGACAAAGGAGTGTTTTCTTCTTAGTTGAAGCTTTTGCTCTGAATAGTTGAAACAAGAGACAGTCACACAAAATGCAGCTGGCTTGTAATTCTGTTGTTCAGGCTGCCGGATAGGAAGAACGGCATTAAAAATATTTGGGCCTTCTTCATAAACAGGAGAAGAGATTGTTTAGATGGGAGAAAAGAGGTGAGCCTAATTAGTTCCCACATTCCCTTCCAAACCTGTTGTTCTGCAGCCATCACTAATACACAGTATCCACCACTTTTTGCGGTTGGTGTGTTCCTTTTTTTTTTTTGCTCGGAGTTTCACTCTGTTGCCCAGACTAGAGTGCAGTGGCACACTCATGGCCACTGCAGCCTCCGGCTGCTAGGCTTAGGTGTTCCTTCTGCCTCATCCTTCCAAGTGACTGAAACCACAGGCATGTACTACCACACCTGCTAATTTTTTTATTTATTGTAGAAACGAGGTCTTGCCAAGTTGCCCAGGCTGACCTAGAACCCCTGGACTCAGGTAATCCTCTTGCCTCGGCCTCCCAAAGTGCTGGGATTACAGGTGTGAGCCACTGCACCCAGTCAGTTGTTCCTATTATTTTTTAAATCTGATTAAAGGATGTAAATGGCATTACTGTTTCAATGACCCCATGGTAAATTATTTTTTTAAAGAAAAAACTACCTTGAAAGATAGGATAGTATAATGATTAGAAGCATGAACTTTTGCAGCTAGACTGCCTAGCTCTGCCATATTTAGTCATATGACCTTTGTTGTGTTACTTAACCTTTCTATACTTTCATTACCTCATCTGTAAAATGGAGATAATAACAGTATTCACTTCATAAATTTGTTGTGAGGATTAAATGAATATGTCAAAAGTGTTGAGAGCATGTAGTAAGTGCTATAAAGTGTTTGTTCCAGTTACTGTTGTTGTTACTATAATCTAGTCTGTTGGTGGGCTTTAAGGGATTATTCTCCAAGTATTTGTGCATTCTGCTGCATAACTTGTGATTAGATGTTTGACTAATTAAACAAGCAAAAATAGGGATACAGTTCTTCATAATTTTATATACTTAGAGGGATCTGAATATTTGATTGCAGTCAAGTGCAAAAGATGGTCATTGTTCCTCTTCCTGTGTGTTAAAGTATCTAAATGGAGACAGCACTGGAAAATAGTCCCGGATTTAGTTGCCTGAAACAAGGAGGCATTTTCCTTAGGTTAATCTTGGGACTCAATAGTAGCCACATACCTGCTTTTGAAGGCTGTGATTGTTCCCAGGGTTATGCTTTACATAGCTCAAATTTCTTGAAAGATAGCAATTCTATGAGCTACTTTAGTTCAATACTGTTTAGTTATGGCTTAGAAATGCTGATATCCTACACTTTACTTTTTGGTTCTTTCCTTTCTTACACCCCTCTCTCTTTTCCAACTTTAGAATTTGAGTCATTTAAGTTATGTGTTTGCTTCATTCCTTCTTTGGGACTGATTTGACTCCTCAAAGAGTTGTGTATACTTTAGGTCTCCCTGAGGGGACAGCTTGCCAGAGAAAGGGAAGTTCCAGTCCAGGCCTGTGTGCAGAGCCCTGATCAGTTGAGGAAACTGAGGCTGTTTGACATGAGAGAGAAGCTGATTTGTTTGTGCACTTCTTAGGTAGTTAGAAACAAACCTGTGGCAAGGCAGGCTCCTGGCAAACGGAAATGCAACTGTCGGCAAGAGATGCGGACCACCCAGCTGGGCCCTGGGCGCTTCCAAATGACCCAGGAGGTGGTCTGCGATGAATGCCCAAATGTCAAGTAAGTGAAAGCATCTCTATTCTACCTAGAAACACTTTAAATTTCATCTGTTTGATAAAACGCTAATGGTTCATACTTAGATCTGCCTCCTTCCCTATCCCACACCATGTTCTACCAAAGGATGGAGCAAAAATATGTACATTTTTTCCTAAAGTATTCTAAATAGCTCCTTTTGTGTTTCTGAACTAATAAGCAGTACCCTTTATTCTGAATATACTTAACATATGTTAATGCTTCATTTTCTTTCTACTTGGAATATTAAAGTAATTGTATATGTTTATTTAACATATAGTAGCTTTGCCCTGAAATTTAGCATGTAGAAGATGTAAATGGATATCAGATAGCTTTGTCAAATAGAAGCACACTATATATAGTCTTCCAAGAAAAAACTCTGATAGAATAGATGAATCTTTAATTATGTCATTTTGTTTGTATTTTCATTTTATTTTTCTCTTTTAATGCTCTTTGTGTCAGGCTAGTGAATGAAGAACGGACACTGGAGGTGGAAATAGAACCTGGGGTGAGAGATGGCATGGAATACCCATTTATTGGAGAAGGTGAAATATTAGTATTGGATTATCATAATTTTCTGCTCTCATCTTGCTTGTGAATCCTTCTCACTTCTGCCTTACTCCATCTTAATGGCCATATAGTAAATGTGTATGTAATTTCTAACACTTTTCAGTTTTAGGATGCAGAAAACCTTTTATGACCATCATGATTAGTCACCTGAAGCAGTAGCATTACTGTTTATCCTCTGAATATCATAGCCAAAATGTAATATGATGTAGCCTAAGTTTTATCAAATTGAGGGTGTTTGGGCCTTAATGGATTAGTTTGAGATCAGCAATGAAAAAATATTTGTAACTTTAGTTGGCATTAATAAGATACTCTCAGAACTCACCTTTGAACCTAAGGTCTTTGGTTTTTTTCCTGTTAGAATTTTCAATTTAAGACTTCAGTTCAAGAAACCAGTGAATCATTCTTTGTTTAGGAACTAGGTCAAGTTATTTATTGCTCTGCCTGAGGCACAAGCATTCATCTCTAGTAATCTGAAATTTTATATAACCAGGCAGGGGCACTGCAATCACAGATAGAGTTGACAGAGTCAATGCCTAAGGTAGTGGCTTTAAAATTTTTTCTCAGCTGACAAATAGATTTACGGAATTTGACTTGTGTGGCTTACAGTATGCTATAATCTGCTCTGACTAGGTGAACCTCATGTGGATGGGGAGCCTGGAGATTTACGATTCCGAATCAAAGTTGTCAAGTAAGTAAGCTAATTTTAGAGGCCTTCTCTCTAGTCCTGCTTTTCGGATGAGTCAGATAGTAGAGATGTGAGTGGCCACCAGAGCACTTCAGACTTTTTTCTCTGTTTCATGCTCATTATACACTCACCAATGATTTGTAACTCTTCTACAAAACTGAAAATTTGAGGTTGGGCCCTGGGTTGAGCCCTAGTTATTTGTTTACTTAGGACTTACAAATCCAAAAGGTGTTAAAAAAAATAAGACAAGTAAAAAGTTGTAAAAGAGAAGCAAACAAGAGAGGAAGTCAAAGAGAGCTGAGATTTTAGCTGAAGAACTATGGTACCATTTAAGAATAGGAGACTTTTCCATAGAAATGAGCTTTGGTTACATTATAAGAAGCTTCTGTGAAGAGAGAGCTCTTATCCTTTTGTGGGCCTCTTTTCAGCATGAAGAACTGCTTAGACAATAATTTTGCCTGAGCCTCGGGCTTTCTTATGTATTATTTCTCTCTTGTTGCCACTTTGGAAACCCCTGATATCTCTGCCTTTAAGGATTCATTGAAACAGGGTTCCCATCAGATGTGGAGAAGTGGCTTCCACTGCCTATGGCTTTTCCCTCATGACATTCTAACCTAGTGGTCTTTTCCCCAGCTTTCCTTACCGACTTTGTCTTTCTCATCACTTGTCAGAGAAACTGAAACATATGTTGTTCCCTGAATAATCCTAATACTTCCTTATCTTTGCCAGAATTTCCTCTCACTCTGTTCCATCTTCCCTGTACCCACTTTATCTGTATCTCTAGAGCTGACTTGGCCTTCAAGCATAGCTCAGGAAACCGCAACAGACCCATTTCTGATATTCATCTCCACAGTCCTCACTGCCAGAAGTTATCTTTCTCTCCTTTCCATAATCTAGTGGTTATAGTTTTACTTACATACTCTGGCTTTTGCTGATTGTAAGCCCCTTAATAGGATTTATACAACCTTCTGTTCTTGATTAACACTATACACAAAGGCATGTCTGGTAAATATTTATTGTTTGAAAGAGTGATGTTCATCTTTTCCAAGATTTTTCTAACAACTTTTTGAACTTTTCTCGAAGAAAGATGGAAATTAATGATTTTCATCTTGTTCTGTTTTTAGGCACCCAATATTTGAAAGGAGAGGAGACGATTTATACACAAATGTGACAATCTCCCTAGTTGAGTCTCTGGTTGGCTTTGAGATGGATATTACTCACTTGGATGGTCACAAGGTAAACAAATAAATTTTCCTATTTTCTGTTCTTTCTAAGGCTTTATGTGGGTAACTTTGAGCTTATATCAGTTGCATTGGTTATTAGGACCAGAGGGCCCCCTTCTCAATCTGCCTTCTCCGCTTACTCTACTGCTGGATGCCCAGCAGTAACAGGATCATAGACCTTTTAGCTACTCAGAGCTAATTTCACAGCCTTTGGCAGTCTTGTTCTTATAGTTTATCTTGGCAAAAATTTTACTTTTTTGCGTGTTTTTGCGTTTGATTTTTCTGTTTTTAAAAACATTTTCTTTCTTTAACTCTTATCATTTTAATGATGATCCCCTTGCCCCTTTGTTCTTTCTTTTTGCAGAGGTGTGACATTAGCTTTGTGTACCAGTTCTCACTAGAAGTTGTGTGATGTGCTTTGGGTACACTAGACCCAAATCGGCTCCAGCCCATTCTCTTTTGTTTTCCAGGTACATATTTCCCGGGATAAGACCACCAGGCCAGGAGCGAAGCTATGGAAGAAAGGGGAAGGGCTCCCCAACTTTGACAACAACAATGTCAAGGGCTCTTTGATAATCACCTTCGATGTGGATTTCCCAAAAGAACAGTTAACAGAGGAAGCAAGAGAAGGTATGGGGTATAATGAATGTGTGTGTGTGCAATGAGAAGAAGGTGGCAATAGAAGCAAAACCCTCCAAGTACAGGAGATATCAATTGTTAATGCTAGTAAACACAAGGGTAGGAATAGGCTCACCTTCTTCTGTAAAGGCAGTATAGACTTTTGTGTCATTGTGTTACAAAAGTCTGTATAAGCTGGGCTTTGAGACCTACAGAGGGATAGGTTGTCTGGAAGTGAAACAGACTCACTTAAAACAAATGAGCTGGACCAAACTGTAAAGGGGAAGATGAGACATACCATCTTACCTTGGATGAGAGGCTCGGGAGTGGGTTCCAGATGATTGTTTGAGAAGCGGGCCCAGTTGGGGATCCTAAAGAGTAAGATAAAAGAGAGCAGGGAAAGAGGTAAAAACTGAAAAGAGGACCAGGCACTGTGGCTCATACCTGTAATCCCAGCACTTTGGGAGACCAAGGCAGGAGGATTTCTTGAGTCCAGGAGTTTGAGACCAGCTGGGCAACATAGTGATACCTCATGTTTTCCCAAAAAAACTGAAAAGAGGATAAAGAATGCATGAAAGACTTAGTTGAAGAGTTTTCTTTCCCTTTTGATTGCTTTTTCTCATTCCTCATTTTGTAGGGTTTTGTGTGATATATATGTGATTTATAGGCCTGAGAGAAAGTGACAAGGGATCATCTTGGATGCACTTGTGCATGTGTGGGGATATCTACATGTAATCAAGTTGGAGATTGGTAGTTATTTGTTTAATTCAGATCCATGGTCATCATGTCCTTGATGAACCTTCCTGTGAAACATGCTCTTATAATCTAGGGAAGTAATATTTTTGTTAATGGAGTCATGTATTCATTCTTTCTTTAGGCGTAAAACAGCTACTGAAACAAGGATCTGTGCAGAAGGTATACAATGGACTGCAAGGATATTAAGAGTGAATAAAATTGGACTTTGTTTAAAATAAGTGAATCAGCGATATTTATTATCTGCAGGGTTTTTGTGCTTTTTTTTTTAATTTTCAATATGCAATTTTGGCTTAATTTTTTCCTCTAATGATCATCATGAAATGAATAAGAGGGCTTAAGAATTTGTTCATTTGCATTCAGAAAAGAATGACCAGCAAAAGGTTTACTAATACCTCTCCCTTTGGGGATTTAATGTCTGGTGCTGCCACCTGAGTTTCAAGAATTAAAGCTGCAAGAGGACTCCAGGAGCAAAAGAAACACAACATAGAAGGTTGGAGTTAATTGTTAGTGATTTCATTCAAAATGCCAACTGGAGAAGTCTGTTTTTAAATACATATTGTTGTTATTTTTTTCATGACTCCTGTTTCTTTTCTCCTGTGAGCTAGTTGGGTTGTCTTCCCATCAAACAGGATGGATGTACAAGCATGCAGAAGAATGATAGTGATCCAGTCCCTATATCCAATGAAACACAATCTTCTAGAAAGGAGTAGAATAGGTTAGAGATTGGGGTGCACAAATAAAAGTTACACAAAGATCTAATTGTCCTTAAGAAAAGATATTTTCTCTCATTTGATTTGGAAATAATAATATCTGATATGGATACTTGACTGTTTAGAGAGCACTTGTCATGTATATAATCTCAGCTGGCCTCATGATTAGAAAGCTTTCGGTTTGTTTAAGGACAAGGATTACCACTGGCTCTAGAAAATGAATGTTGAGTAGAATTGCAAATTACATTTGTCTCTCCTAATGGCACCCAATTCAAATAATACATGACTTGAGTACATCTGACTTTTGAATCTCCTTCACTTGGTTAGGTTATACAGTCACTTCACACTCTACTTTTCATGTACTTTTTGCCTCTGCCAGTGAATATTTCAATTCTGTGTAGCAATTGCTATTGCAGTGTGTGGAGCCGCCTTTCAGCCATCCATATAGTTCCAGCAGCATCCTTGCCTTTGGCTATACAGTCTTAGAAACCAAGTGAGACCGTATAAATACATATGTAAGTTTAGTGGACTTTTTGTACTTTTAAGATTCATTATGTATTCAGTTGCCTTTAGTTCAGCATTTTTAGAAATAATCATCATTTCTTTTACATATCCTAGCCCAGGAGGACTCTTGATCATCTCCATTTTTCCAGGATGTATGTAAGAGTAAGTCATGATACTAAGATCTAGATTATCAGTCTTGGCTAGAAAGACTCCATAGAGATAATGCTCTTTCTACCAAAAAAAATGTTAATGGAAATTTGTCATTCCTTTTTATTCATGGTCTACACTGCCATGATTTAATGAATTGAAAAAGAATATTTTTTCATCATTGGGACTTTGTGAGCTTCAGTTAACTTAAGTACTTTATCTGAGGCATATTGTAATTTGGAAAGATTCATATCAAAGTTCCATAGAAGCCGGGCTCGGTGGCTCAACCTGTAATCCTGCGCTTTGGGAGGCTGAGATGAGTGGATTGCCTAAGCCCACGGGTTCGAGATCCGCCTGGGCAACTTGGGGAGACCTCATCTCTACAGTAAATCAAAAAAATTAGCCGGGCGTGGTGGTGCGCGCCTGTTGTTTCAGCTACTCAGAAGGCTGAGGCGGAAGGATCGCCGGAGCCCAGCAGGTCGAGGCTGCGGTGGCCGAGAGCAGCCACTGCACTCCAGTCTGGGTGACAGAGTGAGACTCCAACTCAAAAAAAAAAAAAAAAAGTTCCATAGATTTTCTTGTAATAAACCATAGTGGGATGGGGGATGATGGGAGGATTATAAACCCAGGCTCCAAAGCCCAAGTTTTTTGTACTGTGGTACGACTGCTTTCTCATAGGTTAGTGCTGTCCAAAAATGGAGTACTGGTCTCTGAAGCAGCATGCTCTCACCAAGTAGAATAAAGACATCATCTGTCCAGAGGTATTACAGAGGGGTCTTAGATTCAGGAGGTTGTGGTAGTCAATCAAGCCAGAAGCTTTCATGCATTACAGAGTGCTAATAAGAACAGTGAAATTGCGTTCTCTTATTCATTGAGTGAAAAATACTGAGTGCCTACTGTGAGCCAGTTTCTGTTCTAAATGCTAATTATCCCCAACTTAGAGACAAGGAAATTTAGTTACATCAGCAGCTTACAAGTGGTGGGACCATTAGAACCCAAGCAACTGCCATGAATTCTTAAGTAGAGAAAATAAACACTGGAAGAAGGGTGCTAGGTAATGATGGCAAGAGAAGAGATGATAATGTCTAGTGTCTTCAGTCCTGCAAGACATCCTGCAATGCCATTCCAGGAGCTAGCTACATAATAAGGCAGAAAGGGTGCTTGACCTGGAACCAGACTTAATCTCTGTGACACTGGGGTGTAAGCCCGTTTACCTCTCTGATCCTCAGTTTTCTTATCTCCAAAATGGAGATAATAAAGGATGATATTTTTGAGCTTGATCTTATGTGCACTTTTAACATCTTTTTTGGCTATTCAGACATCTTATTCACTTGTGTTTATTTCCTGCTTGTCAGCTGCATTCACTGTTGGTTAGGTTGCTAGATTCCTGAATCCTAGATCGATGTTAGTGCTCTGAAATCACTGAGAAGGGATCAGGGTATGGAAACCTCAAACCTATTTGAAAAGTTGCATTGAGTGTTATTAGAAATGGGAATGGGAAGGTAATTTTATTCTATTCCTTGAACAAAGATAAGTGACTACTAGCTCTAGTAATGAACTGTACAGTTGGCAAAAAGATATCCGAGGACTCTGGGAGATAAGCAAGAGAAGAAAGAACTGTTTGGTAAGTGTTCACTTTTAAAAATTCTAGTATTTTAGTCACTGAAATTGTCCTAGCATTCATGATCAGGGGTTGGACACAGGTCACAGGCAATGATTTTATATATCAAAGAGCCCAGACCCTTTCTTTTTCCATTAAAAGAAGGAAAGTACTCCTGAGTGGTATAACATTAGGCACAGTCCCTCTATTAATGCAGTCAATCAGAGAGTGACAGTTGGGGGACCACTGTCACAGCTAATGTCAGCAAAGGACATTAAAGCTGCACAGTCCAACTTGGTAGACACAAGTAGCTATTGAGCTCTTGAAATGCACCTCATCCAACATGAGATGGACTGTGAAGTGTAAAATACACACTGGATTTTGAAGACTTAGTATTAAAAAGAGTGAAAACTATCCCAATGGTTTTTATATTGATTACATGTTTAAATAATAGTATTTTGAATATATTTGGCAAAATTAAATAATTATTAAAATAAAATATATTAAAATTCACCTGAGGGTTTCTGTTTGTTGTTTTTGTTTTTTACTTTTTAAAATGTGACTACCAGAAAATTTTTAATTATTTACATAAGTAGTTCACATTACATTTCTGTTAATTGCACTGCTCTAAAGAGTCTCACCCAGGCTGCACCAGGTCACTCCTCAACACAGAAGTTGACTAGATGTTGGGTTGAAGGACCACATGTTCATTCTTATCAGCTACCTCTCATTCAGTCAGCCCAGTGCGATGTTTCCATTTCAGTCATCCAGTTTTTTGTCGGCTTTTCTACTTGATATTTGTACACTGTATTGGCTGAGGCATACGATTTTTTTTATCCAGTGAATAAACGCGCTGACCAAAGAATTGAGGCCACTTCTTGGATTTTGCCACTGAAAGCCTCCTCCAGCTTTACAATCGTCAGATCATCAGGGTAAATCATATTTCATATTCATGAAAATTTTAACTATTTTACATCTCACCATATTGCTTCATCTTTTCCACAAGGATATGCTGAGAGGGCTTGTTAAAATCCAGCTAGACAACAGCCTGTTTTAGGAAATAAGGTGTGTCTGGCATGACTTGGTCCTAATGAACCCATACTGGGGCCTAGGGATCAGCACTTACATCTCAGTGCTTATGAATGATGTCTGCATTGGCTGTCGTGGTCTTTTGGGAAAACTGCCCATCTCCAGTCTTTCGGCCTCTGTCCTCCATAGTACCTTAAAATCAAAGACATGTTTAGCAACCTTCTCTTTGGTCTCTCAGTATTCTTGGATTGTGTCCAGTGCAGAAAACATGATTTCCTTCAAAGTTAGTTAAAGTGTTTCTTATCACCTCTTCCCTCTTGGGCTTCATTCTTACTGATATACATAATATCCTTGATACTGCAAACACCATTTTTGACAGAATATAGAAAAAATTGGAGGTTTTATATATCACGGTTAAAATGTATATGCTCTCAAATTAGACTGGTTAGATTCAAATTCCAATTCTACCACTTAACTAGCTGTGCCTCAATTTCTCTTTTTAAAATTGTGATAATAATAGTACATCTTTCATAGTGTTGTTAGATGATTGGACATTTACAGTTGGACTATCTCTTGGGAAAGTCAGGCAAAAAGAGCAAGTTGAGTAACCTGTGTTGCTTCGCTGAGGTTTTATGATTTTTTTTTTCCATTTTCTTCTCCCCTGCAATGCATGACTTTAGTCTCCAGGTGGTGCTAAAATAATGCTGTGAGAGATGTAAAACCAGCTCAGGTTTCAGACTTGTTTGTTTTTAAGTTATTTTCTGGTTATTACCACCAAAAATCAAGCTAGTAAGTAAAACAACACTAATGATCATTTTCAATGCAAACTCAATGAAGAATGCATCTTGACTGTCTTCCCTCTTCTCAAACGCTCCTTAATCCTAACGTAGAGAAGGCAGATTTCACATGGACTGGATATTGATGGGGAGTTTGAGTCTACCAAAATAATAACATTAATAATAATTTTTAAATTAAGAATAAAGAATGCTCCTGAGAATTAATTAATAACAGTTGCAGAAACTACTACAAGGAGCCAAAATAGGTGATTACAAACAAGTTATGTAATAAAATCTTCCATCTTTTCTACCAGTTAGGATCATTAAACTAGGAGAACAGGAAATATGATGGACAAGGTTTTCAACCAGGTGTTTGATAAACACCTTGGGGACAAAATGGAGGTACACAGTTGGATTCATAACTCACTAATTATGGTTGAACATGGTGTTGATTGATGGATCAATGTCAACCTGGAAGAGAAATAGTCTCTACTGGCACAAAGCAGAGCTGTGTTCTCAGTCCCAATCTGTTCAATGTTTTTATTGGTAATGAGCATTCCAGGAAGAGAGATTAAAATGCCAGATGCCTACTGAGTGTGAGTCAGAGTTTTCACAGCTTTTATATGTTTGTCAGTCCAAAGAGTCCTAGGAGAAGGGCAGGACAGATTAAAGCTGACCAGACAAGCTTTTGACTCTTATAGAGTGTTTCAAATGGGGAAGCAACTTACCCTGGAGGGATAGAGTTGGGGTGGACAGGTTTCATCCACAGCATCGATGGGGAAGCATAATGTGACAGCAGTGCTGTTAAGGT